TCCCCCGCGGGCGCGCGCGCCGTCCTGCGGCGCGCCGCGCGGGCGCCCCCAGCGGGCCCGGCGCCGTGGTGCCGACCGGGCAGCAGGAGCGGAAAGTGGGCGTTCACGTACTCTGGGTTTCTTAATGAGCGTGGGGGGGGGGGTTACCCTTGAGTCGGGCCTGTTTCTCTACAGGAGGAATACACGAAATAGTCAAGGTAGTCTGGTGACAACTTCTGTGTGTGCTATTATTTTACGAGTACGGTTTGACTACTTTTTATCTTTCGTCCAAAATCCGCCTCTAGGAGGACATGCCCGACCTAACGGCACCCCGCAGACGGGGGTCAACCTCGCCGCGTCGTCGCGCCGCGACGGGGGTCGGAGCGCCTTCGGCGCGCGGTGGCTGCCCGCGATGGGGGTCGATGTGGGGCTGTCGGCGGCGGTGACGCCACCCCCGACGCTTATTAAGAAACTCGGAGTGCATAAATCTTGAGGTCATCAGAGAAGTTGGAGAAGAACAACCGCCATACACATAAGCTTGTGGCGCTCCGCGCGGATTTCTCGGACCTGCGCTGGGCCCCCCCAGCGGCGCCTCCAGCGCCGCCCCTGGCGCCAGGGAGGGGGGTCCAGCGCAGGTCCAAGAAATCCGCACGGAGCTTCAAAAGTTTACGTTTATGGATTTTTTGTATGAAAAGTCCTTCTATGTCTGCGTCGATGAATTTTCAGGTTTTCAAAGACATCGCACCAGAGAGCATGCGTGGCATGGGGAATTGTCCGTGTAGTAGCGTCGAAGTTCTCGCAGCTCGGCTCGGTCTTCCATGCGGTTCGGGCTGAAAGATTGAGCATGCCACGTTTGCGCTCGGTTGCCAGTCCCTCAAAGCACCCCGACGATATTGTAATGGCCTCCGGCCAGTGCCGCCGATCCGGGGGGCCTCGGATGTAGTGATTTTCTCGGCTCTGTGGCCTCCTCCCTCCTCGATTATTCAAGTCCTCCTTCTTCTTTGTGGACGACGACGACGACGACGGCGACGACGAGGACGACGACGACGACGACGAGGACGGCGGCGGCGGCAGCGGCGGCGGCGGTGGCTCCGGCCGTACCTCCGCTCGCCGGCCGCACCTCCTCGCGGGGCGCGCGAGGAGGGAAGAGAGAGGAGGAGGATGAGGAGGAGGAGGAGGAGGAGGAAAAGGAGGAGGAGGAGGAGGAGGACGAGGACGAGGAAACGGAGGAATATGAGGAAACGACAGACAGGCCGCTCGGCTCGGTCTTCCATGCGGTTCGGGCTGAAAGACGGAACATGCCACGCTTGCGTTCGGTTGCCAGTCCCTCAAAGCACCCCGACTGTATTTCGAGCATCGCGAATGGGGGATGATGTGTCTGCATTGTGTCCTTGTTCTTGCTTCTCTCGTGCCTTCTCATGGTCGCTCAGTTTGCTGTTGCGCCAGTTATTGCACACATGCGAGATGTTCCAAACTATGTGCGCTCCTGTGCTCGTGATTGTGGGCTATGTGCGAGTCCGAGGTTCAAGACGCGCGCTATTACACAACATCCTCCGTCCTTTGGGCCGTCGTAGCTCATTTTCTCCAATGCCTCATATGTGTTTGGAAGCCTCCGTTCCAGCGTCCCTGTCTTGTTTGTGTGTTCTCCCAACGTTTTGTCCCGCCAGGGCGGTTTCTGTTGCATGATTAGTTTGGTCATTGTTCGGTTCAAACCAATGTGTTCGCTCTTTAGCACCTTCGTTTTTTCCTCGGCTTCTATTTCACACCGCCTTTCCCTGGGTGGAACGTTCGGACGATGGGCGGGGGGGGGAGGCACGTGGGAGGGAATGTCGGCGATGATATTTCGCACATTAGATATAGGCTTAGGTTGGGCACGTCCCCCTGCAGGCGGATTTGGGGCCAAACAAACACTTAGCCAAACAATGCACAACATAGTCAACAATACTAAAACGATCGTCCTGCATTTTATTTAAATCTATGTATGAAGTTTCCTCCTGTAGAAGGACACGCCCGACGTAAATACAGGTTTGCCAGCGTGCCCGCGCGTACCCTGAACAGGTGGGATGGCGACGGAGGCTACGAGAGAAACCAATCAGAGGAGCAGAAGATGGGAGAGGAGGATGAGGACACCGACCCAGACATAACCGCGTCGTTAAACAAATCAGGACGGGAGGTTTTTGGCTAGTTTTGGCTTCGGGGGCCCTCGCCGGGCCTCGGGAGCGTCAACAAAAACGACTCAGGATGAAACACTGGTCGCGGGGAACGGGTCAGGACTTCCAGGGACCCTGTATGGACAAAAATCAGGACGTCACATGTCTGGGAGGGCAAGATCGGAAAGCGCAGAAGTAGATGGAACAGGTGTTAAGCGGAGGTCCGCGCAGACCCGCGCCGCCCCTGGCGCGCTCCGCGCGCCGGCGGGGCGGGCCCAGCGCAGATCCAGGAACTCCGCGCGGAGCGCTAAGAGGGTATGTGCGTGGCTCTTCTCTTTTTCTTTTCTCGAAGCACGCCCCAGAGATCCGATGTTTTTTTTGGGGGGGGTGAGGCCCCCGGGAAGCCCCGATCCTTGGGTCCACGATGGGCCTGTTTCCACCACCACCACCACCAGAAGTTGGGTCGGGAGGTGGTCCTCATCCCCTCTTCCTCCTCCTCCTCCTCCACCTCCTTCCCCCCTCCAACTTACAGTGGTGGTGGTGGAAAACAGGCCCATCAGTCCATGTCGACCCGACCGATCCGATTCGACATCGATGCTGGCTGGCCCGATCCGCGCCGATGCCGATGTCAGGACGGCCCGTGGGGCGGCCCTGGGGCTCGCAGGGCGCTCTCTTGCGCCTTCTGGCGCGGCCGATCCGATGCGAGTTCGATGCAGTACCGATGCTGGTGGGCCTGTTTCCCACCACCACCACCACCACCACCATAAGTTAGAGGGGGAGGGGGTCCTCCTCCGCCTCCTCCTCCTCCTCCACCTCCTGAACCCTTCCTTCTTCTCCTCCTCCTCCTCCTCTTCGTCCTCCTCCTCGTTCTCATCCTCCTTCCCCCCAACTTATGGTAGTGGTGGTGGAAAGCAGGCCCATCAGATGCCGTCTGATGCCACGCGCCGCGAGGCATCATCGGGTCGAATCCTGCCCTTTCTCCAGGGCTGGCCTCTCATCCCGAGTCGTTCCTTGACTAGGGGACGGAACAATGACATAAGCATAACAACTCGGAGGTCCGCGCGGATTTCTTGGATCCGCGCAGGGGCCCCCTGGCGGCGCCTCCGGCGCCGCGCCAGGGAGGGGGGTCCAGCGCCGATCCGAGAATTCCGCGCGGACCTCCGAGTTTTTATGCTTATGTCATTATCCTTTCCCCTACTGACCGTCCCGGCGCCGAGTGAGGGCACCCCAGGAGCCGACAGGTGCCAAAGCTTCAGGCCGTGCTTGTGCTTTCTTATCGCTGTGTTGACGTCAGGGGGGGTCATTGCCTGATATCCGACCCCCGAGTCAAACCTTCGGGTCGGTTCGGGGGGTCGCCGCGGCGATCGCGGCGACCTGTTGGCGACCGCCACAAATGTGGGCAATGAAATGGTCACGGAGTGGGATGCCCCTTCCCAGCCCCGCCGCCCCCCAGCTGTGCATGCAGTTGTGGCCCGTCGCTGACCACTCAGCGACAGAGAGCTGACAAGATGTATGCCCAACACGGGCAGTCATGTTTTTCTGGTCAGGGGTCGAGTGTGACGGCCCTGCGGCCGGTGCCGCCGTCCCTGAAGGGGGAGCCCGAGGCGTGTGGGAGACGAGGAATCGAAGGGGAAAGCCCACGGACTGGGACAGGGGGGGGCGGTGACGGCGACGACGACGACGAGGACTCAGACGGAAAAACTTCTCACACACGCTGACCCTGAGATCCGACGTTGCGAAACACTTGCAGCATCGTGAACCACCACGACCGAAGTCCCGGGACCCCAGCTTTCTGCGTCCGTGCTCGAGCCGGATCGACCTGTGAGGGTCCCAGGGCACGAGATTGGCGAAAGCGCCCGGTGAGCAAACATGCTGCAACGCCAAGACCTCAGCCGACGGCGTCGGCGGCTTCTGCCCCGCAGCCACAGGGCGCTCTCGGCCCGTCGCGCAGGCCGGCGCCCAGAGCCCCCCGGCCGCCTCTCGGGGAGCCAAGCGTGGCATGAACATGGAAGCTTAGGATGTCCGCGCGGTTTTCTTGGATCGGCGCTGGGACCCCCCCCTCCCTAGCGCTGAGTCGGGCTTGTCCCTCTGCAGGGGGGATATTGTAGTGGCCTCCGGCCAGTGCCACCGATCCGGGGCGCTCCAGATGATGATGATGATGATGATGATGATGATGATGCTGATGATGATGATGATGATGATGATGATGATGATGATGATGATGATGATGATGATGACGAGGACGACGACGATGATAATGATGATGATGATGATGATGATGATGATGCTGATGCTGATGCTGATGCTGATGCTGATGCTGATGCTGATGCTGCTGATGATGATGAGGGTGAAGATGATGATGATGATGATGATGATGATGGTGATGATGATAAGGATGCTGATGCTGA